GGGATGGGGCAGAGCCTGCAGGAATGGACTGGGATGGACTGGGATGGGAATGTCCTGGAGAGCAGCTCCGCCTGTACAAATGACACAGGAAGGGGACTGGGAGTGGACTGGGAACAGCACTGGGAATGGGATTGGGAATGGCACCAGGACAGCACTGGGAATGGGAGCGGGACCCTGAGATGGGCCTGCCCGCAGGTGTCACACAGGGACGGGGTGGCAGGGGGGTGTGACAGTAACACTGAGGTGACAGTGACTCACCGATGTCCCTGACGGAGTGGCCCCGGGTGTACCTGACCCTGAGATGGGCCTGCACGCAGGTGTCACACAGGGGCTCGGCGCAGTCATCGCAGAACCTCGTGGCCGCCGCGTTGTCTTCGCAGCTGCTGCAGCTCTGAGGACAAGGGACAGGCTGGGCCACCTCCTCCCGGGTAATTAGGGCTAATTAACGCTAACGAGGCTCTACCTGGCGGGGCTCAGGCCCTGCGGTGGCTCCAGCCCCACTGTCCTGCAGGAAGAAGTTGTCCAGGATGTCCCCCAGGGGACACTGGTAGTGGCACACGGGGCACTCGAACACTGCGGGGACAGCGGGGACACGAGGTCAGGGAGGACGGAGGGGACAGGGAGGGCAGAGGGGGTACCAGGGTCACCCCACACCCCCCTCTGTGGCGGCTCGTTACTGGGGGAGGGTCCCCCATTGCTCCCAGTGTCCCCATTGCTCCCAGTGTCCCCCAGTGCTCCCAGTGTCCCCCAGTGCCTCCCAGCTCCCCCAGTCCCCCCTCACCCGCTCCATCTCCGCCGAGGCAGGTCCCGCACACCGAGTGCAGGCAGGGCAGGAGCCGCGGGTCCCGCTGGGGGGTGAGGCGCTCCCGGCAGCGCCCGCAGTGCTCCAGCAGCTCCAGGTGCCCCAAGGGCTCCGCTCGCGGGCCCTTCCCGACCCCTTCCGGGCCCGTCCTGGCCGCCGCCGCCTCAGGGCCCGACATGGTGGCCCGGTCTCCCCTCAGGCCCCTCACGGCTTCCGCTCCCGCCCCCCCCCCCGCCCCGGCCAATCACCGCCCGCTGAGCCTGATGGACAGAGTAGGGGCCAATGAAGGGGGGGGAAGAGAGATTGACGGGGTGAGGGACCAATAGGAGAGGAGCAGGCGGGAGAGAAAGGGCGGGAAGGAGAACGGGCAAATCAGCGGTGGAAGCGCCACAGGGAGGGCGGGGATTGTAGAGAGGTGACGCTTGGCCAATGGGCTTCCGGGCTCGGCGAAGAGGAGGGGCGGGGGCGATGATTGACAGGTCGGGGAATCAATGCGCTGCAGGGCTGGGGAAGGACTGGGAATACTGGGAGCACTGGACGGTACTGGGAGCACTGAGATTACTGGGGGCACTGAGATTACTGGGGGCACTGAGATTACTGGGACTGCCGGGGGTACTGGGGGCGTTACTGGGAGGGCCCCACATGACACTGGGACCAGAGGCTGAGGGGCCCTGAGCACCGGTGGCCCTGGAACAGTGTCCCCTCTTTGTGTCCCAGTGTTCCCCGTTATGTCCCCCCAGTGACTCCAGTGTCCCCCCAGTGTCCCTCCAAGTTCCCTCCTGTCCTCCCCCATGTCCCCTCTGGTGTCCCCCAGTGTCCCCCCCAGTCTCCCAAGTCCCCTCCCATTTCCCCAGGACCCCCCACGTGTCCCCAGTGTCCCCCCTATGCCCCCCTTGTCCCCAGAATCCCCCCCCTCTCCCCAGTGTCCTCCCGTGTTCATTGTCACCCCCAGAGGCCACCAAGACCATTTGAGCCACCCCCCACTGGCCACTGTTTGGGGGGGCAGGAGCCACCTGGGGGGAAGGGACAAGGGGCAGACTCTGTGTCCATCCGTGTGTCCATCCCTGTGTCCACCTGTGTGTCCATCTGCGTGTCCATCCCTGTGTCCATCCAAGGCCGGGGTGGGGTCACAGTGACGGAATCAGGGAATGGTTTGGTGGGGGAAAGGACACTCCATAGACACTTCCAGGATGGAGCAGCCACAGCTTTTCTGGGAATTCCATGCCAGCCCCTCCCTGCCCTCACAGGGAGGGATTTCTCCCCAGAATCCCACCCAAGTGTCCCCTTTTCCAGCTGGAAGCCATTCCCTGTGTCCTGGCACTCCACGCCTTGTCCAAAGTCCTTCTCCAGCTCTTGGAGCCTATTCAGGCCCTGGAAGGGTGTCTCCAGATCCTTCCCTTCTCCAAGTGGGACACCCCAACTCTCTCCAGCCCCTGGAGCATCTCCTCTGGCCTCAGGGCGCGGCCCATCCATCCAATCCCTGTCTCTCCAGCTCAGTTCCAGGATTTCCTAGGGATCCACCTCAGGTGCTTTGTACAAGTCCAGGTTGATGATGCCATCACCACCCGAAGAGCCCCTGAGCTCCACCGAGGCCATCACCAACCACCTCCTGGTGTCCCACCTGCCCAGCTTCCAGGAGGATTTGCTCCGTGCTCCTGCCGGGTGTTCCCGATTCCCCTGTTCTGTTCCCCTTCTCCTGGCCCTGGGAACGTCCCCGTGGCTCGGCTTCCTCCAGGTTTCACCTCAAACGGGCCTGGAGCCCCAAAATCCACCTTTGAGGAGTTCAGGGGGCAGAGACCCCCCCGGTGCCCCCTCACGCCGTGTGAGCGGGGCCGGCGCCCGCGGCATCAGTCCCCGGCCACGCGGCCATTCCGGCTTCCGGCGGCAGCGGTGGCGGCCCTGGTGGGGGCCCCGGCGGGGGCCCAGGGTGAGAGGCGGCGGCGTGGCGCTCCAGGAGGGTGCGGTGGGAGAAGCCCTTGGTGCAGAGGCGGCACTGGAAGCGCTCGGGGCGGTGGGTTCGCATGTGGACGTTGAGGGAGCTCTTCTGGGTGAAGCGTTTGCAGCAGACACCGCACTGGAAGGCGCGGACGCCCGTGTGGGTCACCATGTGCTTCAGCAGGTAGTCCCGGAGCGAGAAGGAGCGCCAGCAGATGGAGCACTGGTGGGGCTTCTCACCTGCGGAGAGACAAATGTGGGGCAACACGGGTCAATACGGGGCACGTCTGCGTGAGTGAACGGACCATGGGTCAACGAACCAACATGGGTCAGCATGGCTTAGCATGGGTCAACATGAGTCAACATGGGTCAACGAACCAACATGGGTCAGCATGGCTTAGCATGGGTCAACATGAGTCAACATGGGTCAGCACAGGCCAACATGGGTCAAGAGCAATGCGCGTCCACAAGTCAACCACAGACCGCCATGAGTCAACGCAGATCCTCCCAGGGCACCGAGCCCCCCGCCCTGCCCTCCCTGCCCCCGTTGTGTCCCCCCCACGTCCCCGTGTTCCCCCCGCGCTCACCCGAGTGGATGAACATGTGCTTGGTGTAGTTCTTACGGGAGCTGAAGCTCTTCTGGCAGTGCCCGCACTGGTAGGGGGGCTGGGGGCCACGCAGGGGCCCCACTGGGGGCACCGTGGGCACTGGGGGGGCTCCCCCCGCCTCCGTCCCACCCTCGTAGGGTGGCGGCAATGCCGGGGGCGCCCCAAACCCAAACCCATCCCCGCACGGTGCCTCCCGCCCGCGCTCGGCCCCGAACGCGGCGCCGCCGTCGTCGCCGGCCCAGGGCGCCAGGAATGTGTCTGGGAATGCCTCGGGGGCACCAAAAAACGGTGGGTCTGGCGCCGGGAAAGCCGGGAGGGCCGCGCCGGGCGGGACAACACCCTCCTGGGTACCGCCGTCCTCATCTTCCTCTTCCTCCTCCGCCTCCTCCTCCTCCTTGAGCGTCGGCGCGAGGCGCAGCGGCTGCCGCTGCTTCCGGCTGTGGCCGCTCGGCAACGGCTCCGAGAAGTTCTCCAGCTCCGCCGGCGGCCCCGGCGGCAGTTTCTGGGCCGGGGGCATCACGGCGGGGCCGCGGCTCTGCGAGATGATCTGGGTGCACTCGTCGATGACCGTCTTGATCTGCAGCACCGAGGCCGCGGTGAGGATGTGCAGCGCCTCCGACTGTGCCACCACCAGGCTGCCGCTGTACAGGAACTCCACCAGCTGCCGCACGGCCGCCGAGGGCACCACGGGCGGCACCTCGATGGCCGAGTGGCCCAGCAGCAGCTTGTCATGGAAGAAGGGGCTGCCCGCGGCCAGGACGCAGCGGTGGGCGCGCAGCGAGGCCTCGCGGATGCGCACGGTGACGTCGCAGAACTGCCCCGCCACCCGCTGCCCGTTGAGCGTCTCCAGCAGCGAGCGGCTGAAGTTCTGCAGGTGGATGTAGTGAACGGCCTCCGGCATCGCCGCGGGCACACCGGGGGACACTGGGGGCACAGGGGAGCAGGGGGGACACGGGGACACTGGGGGCAAAGGGGGACACCGGGGACACCGGGCTGGAGGGATGGAGGGGACACAGGGATGGAGGGATGGAGAGGATGTCAGAGGCACGGGAATGGAGGGGACAGTGGGGACACGGTGACAGTGACGAGGCCGGCGGTACCTGGGGAAGGAGACACAGGGGTTGGGGACATTCTCCAGGGGGTCACTGAGGGCTGGGGACACCCCGTATGACGTCACCGGGTGCCGCGGACAGCGCCGATGACGTCACGGGGCGGCCGGGAGCAGCGCGCGCGATGTCACCGACCTGTCGCGACACGAGAACCTTCCAGAGCCCTCCAGGACCCCCCAGGACCCCCCAGGAGCCCCCCAGAACCCTCCAAACCGGCTCCTCGCCCGCTCACCGCACTCCCGCCGCCGCCGCTCTCTGACGTCACTTCTGCCGGACCAGACCGGAAGTGAATGCGGATCACAGAGAGGGGCGGGAGCGGCGCCCCCTGGCGGGCCGGAGGATTCCGCGGCATCCACATGTTGGCCCATGTCAATCCATGTTGACCCACGTTGGCCCATGTCAATCCGTGCTGTTCCGTGTTGACCCACGTTGGCCCCTGTGACTCTGCTCTGCTCTGTGTTGACCCGTGTAGGCCGACCTGAGTCCATTTGTGTCACCCCGTGTCACCCTGTGTCACCTCGTGTCATCCCATGTCATTCCCACTGGGGACACCCCCTATGTGACCCCCCCGACCCCCTGTCCCCCCGACCCCTCCCCTGTGTCACTCACGTGGTGTCACCGTACCCTCCCCTCCCCGTGACGTCACCCCCACACCGTGACATCACCGCTTCTCCCACCCCTGGGTGAGGGCAGGAGGTGACACCCAAATTCCGGGGTGCCCTGAAACCTGTGTCCCCTCGGGCGGGGGTGACACCCAGGGGTGGCACCCGAATTCCAGGGTGCCCTGAGACACCTGAGTCCCCTGAGTGAAGACAGGAGGTGACATTGGGGGTGACATCCGAATTCTGGGGTGTCCTGGGACACCTGAGTCCCGCAGACAAAGGCAGAGGTGACACCCTGAGGTGCCACCCAAATCCGGGGTGCCCCGAGCCCCCCGTGTCCCCCGGGTGAGGGCAGGGGTGACACCCTGGGGTGCCCCGAGGCCCCGATGCCCCCCGGGCAGGGCGGGGGTGGCCCGGGAGCCGCTGGAGCCGAAGGGCCCCGCCCGGGCGATGCCCGGGGGGGCAGGAGGGGGTTGGGGAGGGGGAGGGCGGGCTCTGTGTCCCCGTGTCCCCTCCCGTGGGACCGGCCCGGGGGGAGGGCGGAGGTGCCACTCGCGGGTCCGTCCCGTGCCCGCGGCGGGGGCGGCACCGGCAGAGCCCGGACCGGGACAGGTGAGGGGGGACAGGGAGGCTGGGACCCCCCCGGGTGGGCAGGGGACCCCAAAAACAGGCGGCTGGGAACCCTCAGGGTGGGCAGGGGGTCCTCAGGGGGCCGGACCTTCCCCACCTGCCCCCCCCAAAAGCTGTCGGGGGGTCCTCGCCCGGGGCTGCGGCTGCTTTGGGGGGGCTGTGGTGTTATTGTAGGGTCTCCCCGAGGTCTCTGTTGTTCCAGAGCCTCCCCCCTCATGGTGGACACGGGGGACAGGGGGCGGCGCAGCCCCCCCAGGCTGGCACAGGTGAGTGGGGGGGACTCCCGAGGGATGTGGAGGGGGGAAAGGGAAAGGGGGGGGCCCCCAGGGGGAGGGGGGGAGAATCACCAGTTAATGGGGGGGGACACAGGGATGAGGGGGACACAGGGATGGGCTGTGAGGACCCCCTCCGGTTGATGGGGGGGACACAGGGATGGGAGACCCCCAGGGTACGGGGTGGGACCCCCAGCTGGGGGGATACAGGGATGGGAGGGGGGACCCCGCGGTGATGGGGGACCCCTCGGTACCCGGGGGAGCCCCGAGCCCAATTTGGGGGTCCCAGGGGGTGGAGGAGGGGGGGATTCCGGGCATTTGGGGTCTCCCCGCCCCGTCCCCCCCCCTGGCCCGGGCCCCCCCCCCCCCCCCCCCGGCCCCCCGGCCCCCCCCCATTCCGGGCCCCCCCATTCTCCCCCCCCCCCCCCTCCGGACCCCTGGGAACCCCTAAATCCCTGAGACCCCTCAAATCCCTGGGACCCTCCAACACCTGGGACCCCCGGGATTCCTGAGACCCTCAAATCCCTGGGACCCCCCGACTCGAGGACCCCCCAGATTTTGGGACTCCCTGGACTCTGGGACCCCCTGGATTCCTGGGACCCCCAAATCCCTGGGACCCCCCGGAGTCTGGGATCCCTCAGATATTGGGACTCCCTGGACTCTGGGAGTTCCTGGATTCCTGGGACTCCCCAGAACCCTGGGACCCCCTCGGGACTTTGGGACCCCCCAGATTTTGGTTCCTCCCCCCCAAATGTCCCCCCTCTCCCAGCACCGGCGGGACCTGGAGGAGGAGCTGCGGGACCTCAGCAACCAGGTGGGCGGGGCTTGGGGATGTCAATCACATCGATGGGAGGGGCCTGGGGCTGTCAATCACCCTCAGAGGGTGGGATTGGGGGCTGTCAATCACACTGGTGGGCTGGGCTGGGGCAGCCAATCACATCGGTGGGAGGGGCTTGGGACTGTCCATCACCCTGGGGGTGGGACAAGGAGCTGCCCATCACCCAGATGGGGGCGTGGCCTGTCCCATGTGAGCTGTCAATCACGGTCTTCCCCAATCAGGTGGCGGCGCTGGGGCGGAGCCTGGCGGCAGAGAGAGGGCGTGGCCTGGCAGAGGGCGGGGCCCTGCGTGCGCTGGAAATCGCTGTGGGCGGGGCCCAGGCCCGGATGGGCGGGGCCTGCAGGGCCAGGGACCGGGCCAATGAGAGACTGCGGCTGCAGCAGGTGGGCGAGGCCAGGGGGGGGGGGGGGTGGGGGGGGGCGGGGCCTATGACAGGTGTGGCTGTGGGTGGGGCTAAAGAGGCGTGGTCTGAGGAGTGGCTGGCAAAATGGGGTGGGACTTGGAAAAGTAGGTGGTGCTTTATGGGATGTGGGTGTGGTCAGGGGGAGGGTCTTAAGGGGTGGAGCCTCTGGTGGGGGTGTGGCTGAATTTGGGCTAAATTGGCATGGTCTGAGGGGGCGTGGCCTGGGAGGGGGAGGAGCCTCTGAGAGGGTGGAGGCCTGGTTGAGGTGGGGCTAAAAGGGGGCGTGGTCAGAGGGGGTGTGGCCTGTTCCTGACCCAACCCTGCTTGCAGGAGGCGGGGCAGCTGCTGTGGGCGGAGCTCCAGGCCGCCCGCGCTGCCCGTGCAGGGGCGGAGCTTCGGGCACAGGAGGCGGAGTCACAGTGCCGGGCACGGGGGGAGGAGCTTCAGCAGCTGCGAGAGGTGGGCGGGGCCAAGGGAAAGGGCGGGGCTAATGATAAATGGGCAGGGCTAAAGGACAAAGGGGCCGAGCTAAAGGGCAGGGGGGTGTGGCTAAGGTCCAGTGGGTGGGGCTAAGGTCCAGTGGGTGGGGCTAAGGTCTAGTGGGTGGGGCTGAGGACCAGTGGGCAGGGCTGAGGAACAATGGGCGGGGCTATATCAGCCTATGAGTGGTGCTGGGGTGGTGGGCGTGTCCCCGGTGGGCGTGTCCATGCCAGCCCCGCCCCCAGGCCGTGGAGGAGGCCCGGCAGTGCCGGCGCCAGGCGGAGCAGGAGCGGGACCAAGTGGCCGCTCAGGTGGGACGTGGCCCCCGGCACAGGTGAGTGAGGACACGCCCCTCCCCGGACACGCCCCTTCCTAGACACACCCATTGTGTGTCCCCTACAGCCCCTCCACGTGTCCCCTGTAGTCCCAGGTGTCCCTCTGTCCCGTACTCCCCCATACCCCCCATCCATCCCCTATACCCTCCCATGCCCCCCCATATGTCCTCCCCATAGTCCCCCCCCCGCTGACCCCCGGGGGCTGCAGGCGGCGCTGGAGGAGCTGCGGGAGCACAACCGGGGGCTGCGGGACCACCTGGGACAGCGGCTGGGACAGGTGGGCACCTGTGGGGCACCTGTGGGGCACCTCTGGGGACTTGGGAGGGATATGAGGGGATATGGGGATGTGGGAAATGGGATATGGGGATATAGGAAATGGGATATGAGGGTGCTGAGCTCACCTGAGGGTGCTGTGGTCTCACCTGTGGGTGTTGTCTCACCTGCCCAGGTGCAGGAGCTGCGTGAGGCGCTGTCCCTCGCAGGGCAGCGGGCACGGGAGGCCCAGGGTGCCCAGGCCAGGCTGGCGCGGGAGCAGCGGGAGCTGCAGGAGCGGCTCCTGCGCCCCCCAGTGCCCCCCACGCCCCCCGAGAGCACCCTGAGGAGCCGCTGCCTCCACCTACAGGAGCTGCTGCGCAGGGAGGAGGGGTGAGGGGGGACTGGGGGGGGATTGGGTGGTGCCCACATGGCCTCAGGATGCCCCCAAAGTGGGTTTGGGCAGCCCCAGGGTGGTCTTGGGTGGTCCCGGGTGGCCCCAGGTGATCCAGGTGACCCCAAAGTGGGTTTGGGTAGTCCTGGGTGGTCCCGGGGGGCCCAGGGGTGGTCCCAGTCTGGCTTGAGGTGACCCCAAAGTGGGTTTGGGTGGCCCCAGGGTGGCCCAAGGTGGTCCCCAGACGGTCCCAGGGGGGTCCCCACATGGTCTCAGGGTGAGTGTCAGTGGCTGTGGGTCATTCTGGAGGTGACATGGGGTGACACTGGGTGTCCCTGTGGCCCCCGGGGTGTGGATGGCCCTGTCCCGGGTGCCATGGGGTGCCACTGGGTGTCCCTGTCCCCAGGACCCGGCTGTCCCTGTCGCGGGCCGCGCGTGTCACCGGCCGGCGCCTGCGGGCTCTGGTGGCCGAGGTGGAGGAGCAGCGGCTGCGGGGGGAGAGATACCGGCTGCAGGTGGGGGGCACCTGTCACCCGTGTCGCCTGTGTCACCCGTGTCACCCCTGTCACCCTGTGACCCCACAGCCCCTGTGCCCACCCATGTCCTCCCTGTTCCCGAGTGTCCCCAACTGTCCCCATGTCCCCAGTGTCCCCGTGTCCTGTCCCCCCGTGCCCCCAGGTCCTGTGTCACCGTGTCCCCATGTCCCAATGCCAAATGCCAACCACATGCCCCTGTACCCACACCCCATGTCCCCAGGCTCCACGTCCCCCTATCCCAATGTCCCCAATATCCCCAATGTTCCCAATGTCCCCCCAATGTCCCCAACGTCCCTGGGTGTGTCCCCAATGCCCCTAACATCCCTAACGTCCCCAATGTCCCCAATGTCCCCAATGTCCCCAATGTCCCCAATGCCCCCAATGTCCCCATGACCCCACTCTCCCCAGTGTCCCCCACGTGTGCAATGTCCCCGATGTCCCCAGTGTCCCCAATGTCCCCAGCGATGTCCCCGTGTCCCCAGGCTCGTGCCAGCGAGGTGGCGGCAGGGCTGGTGGCAGCGCAGGTGGCGGCGGTGGCCGCGGGCACGGCACGGGCACTGGCCCAGGGCCACGTCCTGCGCCGGCAGCTCGACCACGTCGGCGACGGTGCCGCGGCCACGGCGCGGAGTGTGGCCGTGCTCAGGGCCCGGCTCAGGTGGGGACACCTCCCGACACCCATAGACCCCTACAGACCCCTAGAGACACCAAGGGGCACCTACAGACCCCTAGAGACACCCATGGGCACCTATAGACACCTATACACACCCATGGGCACCTACAGGGGGTTATGGGATGGTGGGAGGGGTCTATGGGGTTATGGGGGGGTCTCAGGGGTTATGGGGTGTTGGGGTGCTCTATAGGGGGTTACGGGGGCTCTATGGGGGTTATGGGGTACTGGGAGGGTCCGGGGGGGATGTTCTGGGCTGTCGGGGGGTTCTCCAGGACAGGGGGCTGTCACTCCCCCCCTCCCCCCAGGTGCGACCCCCTGACCGTGTCCCGCACGGTGCGGCGGATGCTGCGGGGGGGTGACAGCGGTGACAGCGGCGACAGTGGCGACAGCGGCGACAGCGACACCCCCCCCACCACCCCCGGCACCCCCCCGCACAGCCCCCGGCCCTGGGGGGGGCTCGGACCCGCCCCCAGCGCTGCGGGAGCCCCTCGAACCCCCCCTTGAGACCCCCCTTGAATGCCCCCTCAAAACCCCTCCCCT